CTTTGACTATTTGCTCGTTCCATAATGTAGGTTCCTGAGGAGAACGTATAACAAACTCCTATGGGTAGGTTCTCTTATTCAAGAACCTTCAGTTATTAACAGGTTCAATCATTCAGTACAATTTAATGCTAAATTTTCAACAACATTATCTTGGTTGTATTATAACTTTCGTGAGACATACAAAATTAATTATTATTATGTTTTTCGGCTTACTGGCGTAATTATTTCAATTATCATCAGTGACGAGACGGGAAAGACGCCGCGTCGCGTGTCGCGGAATGCTGCTCATGAATATGAGCCTCTATGGCATGGCTTGAAACTAGTCGAGTTCCTCGTCAAATAATTACGTGAATAAGCCGAAAAACAATAATAATAATAATAAATCATTTATTTCAGGCATAGGAACCCATAGTAACACAACAATCTCAAATTTACAAATGACAAAAAAGTGAAATAAAAATTTCAGTAGAATAAAATGAAAATTACAATAAAATAAAATGAAAATTACATTAAAATTACAATAAAATAAAATGAAAATTACAATAAATTACAATAAAATAAAATGAAAATTACAATAAATTAAAATTAAAATTACAATATAACAAAATTAAAATTATAATAAGATAAAATTAAAATTAAACAACTTCAATCATTAACGTTATATTTTCATCATAAGGTACGTCAGTTCCAATCTCAACAAGTACACGTGATGGAACACTACCGAAACCAATTCATTCCCACAAGCACATAGACGAGCCTGGAAAGACGCCCAGAGCCTCATCATAAGCCCATAGAAGTCTGTAACCCTATTCTCCACAAACATGCCAGTCGCACTACACCGCCAGGGAAGCTTTAGGATTGCTCTAAAAGCATTATTGTATTGTACACGAAGAGTGTTGTAAGCACTCCTTGTGTATCTGTACCACAGCTGACTGGTGTAGAAAGACTGACAATACGCACCAAACAAAGTTATCTTAACTTGGTCGGTGCAATGTGAGAAACGCCGAGCCAACATGTTGGCACGACATGCTATACTACGCCTTTGGCGTTCCAGATCAGCGTCATCCAATAGATCATCCCTAATAATGTGACCAAGATATTTAAATTAACAGGATCATAGTAATTGGTCATTCTTATTTACTACGGTAAAATGGAGTGAATAGGGACCGAGAGGTGAATAGACAAGGAAGAGGGTGTGAATCGATACTATGAAGAATTTCCCAATATCTATTAACCCCTGTTTTGTTTCTATTTACATCTCGATCCCTATTTACCCCATTTTACGGTATTTATCAGCCGTGATCGTCCCACAACATGATAGAAAGCCTCCTTACAATCCTTAATCCTTACCGCTCGTTCGGCCTCTGAGCAAAGCTTTCTTTCGCTGTACCGCTAATCCTCAATTTAATAGACTAACGTTAACATAAAACTTTGGTAATTAGGAAGGAAGTACACCCTTGTATACCCTTTCCAAGAATAGCAGGCATTTCATTAAGTATGCATATCTTTACCGACCGAAATCTGAAATTAGAAAGCCCGTAGGAACTGTGGTTTCCATATTAATGTATAAACATCGACCCTTTTTATGCAGATATGTACTCTACTTACATAACTAAATGAGACACCGACTTTTCACCTCTTTATGAGTTTCACTTAAATACGTAATAAGGGACGAGTTGATTGCCAGGCAGTTCTAGACTCTATGCTAGTTGTTTATTAATCCTATTTTATACGGTACACACCTTCCGTTTTAACTATGCAGTTTAACTGTACAGTCGAACTGTACAGTTATATTGTATCGGTGTGTAGTCTTATCTCCTTATTTCATATTCGTTTCAAATCTGTGGATTAAGTTTTTTTTATGGGATAAACTGTTAAACGAGCAAGCGGATCACCTGATGGTAAGCAATCGGCGTCGCCCATGGGCATCTGGAACACCAGAGGCGTTACAAGTGCGTTAACTGCCGTTTGGGATTAGGAATTTGAGGATTGTTGGGGATTGGCGGATTGGGGATACTGGAGAGGGGGGGGGGGGGGGTAATTGGGCCTCCGGTAACCATGATTTTGAATTGAGATGGGTTATATAAATTCGCAGTATATGAACCTACGACTGAACAGTTATCAGTTCGACTGTACAGATAAACTGTACAATGAAAGGTGTGGTGTAGCATTATTCCTAACCATGGCTCCTGTCAACAAGGATTTAGATGAGTGACCAAACAAAATACTATCGAGGCAATAGCGAAGTCCGCCGATTCGACTTAAGGATATGTAAGTGCTGGGCCCCACAAAAAAGTAATTCAGAAGATATTATAGAAGTAGATATGTATTCTAACTTGTCCTCAGAATTACTATTAGCAATAGTTAAAACTACCAATACACTGTATATTTAGCGAGCATATAACTTAAAGATCTTTACCAATCTACCAAATAAAAAAACAAACACGCAGTAATTGTGGTTTCTAAAATAATACACAAAAACCGACTGCGGTTATCAACGGTCATCCGACCGATTATATTATACACTATTTATACAGCACACAGCATCCTGCGTATACCATATCCTATTAGATAATCATGCGGTTAATCCACCATAAAAAATCACGTGCCGAATTTTATTTTAGCGTCTAAAAATATTTGGATGGTAACGTAAAGTAAATATATACAGGTACTCTTGCGTGTGTGCTTGTTACCGCTTGGTATCTGAGGCTAATAGGGCTCGTACACAAAACTGCGATGCGACGTCGCATCGCAAAAATGTGCGAGCTCCCTCTACGCATCGCAAGAAATCTTATCTTCCCAAAATCTTCTTTGTTTCTTTTTCCTGTATCTCCTAAACCAGAAGTGCACACTTCTTTTAACGATCCATGTCACGACCTAGTTTTCAATTTAAAATACGTTTAGTACGGTTGACAATCGTAGAAGGAATGGTCACCCTGGGAGACGCCTTGTCCCACGAAATCGCATCGCAGCAATTTTCATCGTAATTTTCTGCGTTGCGAATTCGCATCGCATCGCATCGCAGTTTTGTGTACGAGCCCTTAGTCCGAATTTGTTATACGATTAAAATAATCGAAACGAGACCGCGTTCGCCGCTCTCATTGGTTGGTTAATTGGAGCCGGCGAATCAAGCCCTTTGATGTAATCACGCTTTGTATTTTGATAGATGGGCAGAGATGCGCATAATTATGCTAAACACTTTTTTACTATTTATCGGAACCGCCTCTCAAATGACCGGGACTCTGTGGTCCAGTGATTGGTAAAGACATACATAATAATAATAAATCATTTATTTCAAGTAACCAAGACTCACAGAATGTTAGTAAAACTTACGTCTATGTTAGTAATCACTATTGTTTTTGTTATACAAGATTCATCCTACCTTAATCCATTAGAAATGGCACTACACCGTCCCATGTATATGCAGTCCAGCTTGCTCGAAATCCTGCTCAGGATACTTTTGGAGCTGGCCTGCACCCTGCTCACCAAGGAAGCACACCTTTTTTTTCTTCTTCTTTGGCAACCGAGTCCCCAAAATGGTGTTGTCGACTATACTGCCAGTGTCGAGTGGTGATGGCAAAATTATTGGACCGTCGAACTTAACTTTGCGGTAGTTTTTAGTTGTTAGTAGCTGAAAGGACAAAACAATTGGGTTAGTAAACATAAACATTATCAACTAGTTACTACTAGTTTTTAGTTACTACACCTTTTGCGCATGAAATAGTCACACCAAAATTTCTTTCCGTACTTCTATCATTTTGCAATAACTCAAAACTGCCACTGAGTGTAACCGCACGCAATTGCATGGAATTGATAAAACATAGTTCTACTTTTATGGATTGTTTACAAGCATTCCACATCGATCTTTGCCTAAGTATAGTTCAGGATATTGGTTTCCTCATTATGCCGTAACTATACTAGGATACTGTGGAGTAGACTGCAAAAGTCTAACATTAGTTGGTACCGTGCGTGTCGGTATCGGTTTCTTTATTTAAAATAGTGATTGCAATTTTAATGAGAGCGTTTATGGTTTGCTCGTGAATTTTTACTTTTACTCTTAAAATTTCTAACATATTTAAAGTGTATATCTATTATTATTTGTAAGTATATTCAATGGGTTTATTACTTTTTCTTATTTATCAAGTGTTTTTTTCTTCAATTTCAATTACTTGTTAAGCGAATGTGAGTACCAATACAAACCAGATGGTTTAATGGTGCAAAAAATGGTTTAAAAGTGTACTGTAATATAATAATAAATAAATATAAAAAATAAACTACATTACCTAGATGGACGCACCGCAAATTACGATCCTTTTCGTAATTTCTTTATTTCTTAACTATCCAAAGATTTTCTGGAAGAGATGACTGGTTAGTGATAAGCGTACCCTTTGTATACCTTTAATTTTTAAGATTATTGCACCCTTTGTATTGTTAACAAGAGTTCAAAAGAGGCAATCTTTGTTGGCAAAGGTATAAAAGAGATTAGTACTACATGTTTTAAATAGCTTCTCCTACGCTGTTTCACCTACAGTGCATTATACTCGATCCTATTGGTCGTAGCGTAATCTGCGTAATGCTGTAAGACTTTCTTCTATAAATGAACTTCTTAACAAAAATATGGTTCAATTCGTATCCACAGATTGTTTAACCAAACTAAACCTTCAATTTAGTAATATTGATTTATGTGTGAGAGTACCATGCTTCGGCACGAATGGGCCGGCTCGATCGGAGTTATACCACGGCCTCACAAAAAACCGACGTGTAACAACGTTTGCGTTGTGTTTCGTCGTGAGGTTACCGGAGGCCTAATTACCCAATCTCCGACAATCCTCAAATACCAAATCCCTAAAAGGCCGGTAACGTACTTGTAATACCTCTGGTGTTCCAGGTGTCCATAGGCTACGCCGATTGCTCACCATCAGGTGATCCGTCTGCTCCATTGCCGACTTATAAAAAAAATGAGAACAGATTTTAAAATAGATTTCTTTTTTCTTCCACAGCCCTCAGTAATGCTTCCGATATGGACATCAGAGTTCCTGCAGGCGGTCTCTCGAATGGACCCAAAGTTCATAGCGCTGCACTTGCAAGAAGTTGGTGGGAAAGCCTATGAGAAGTCCATGCAGTACGTCCAGGACTTTGTTCAAAGACTCTGTGACTGTCCAGAATTGAGACTCTTTGACAAGATCCGGATATTTTTGGATGAAGACTTCAGCTCTCCTGAAAAGTTTACTGTAAGTATTTAAAGATTGTAGGTCTGTCTTTTTCGAAATGTGTGCTGATAGAAGATTTGTATGGCATAGTTAAAATTTATAGAGAAGACTGCAAAAAACTATTAATGACTGCACAGTTGGTGCTGTGGCTGGGCAATCGGCTGCCGCGCAACGTGTTGCGGGTTCGATTCTCCATGATTTAAAAAAAATGGATTTGGTCTTAAACTGTCAAACACCAAGCGGTCACCGGTGACCGCAACCTATTGTTCCATAATTGTGTCTATAATGACGGTACTCAACGAGTTAATATCAAAAGCCTTAAAAAGCAGACTTGAGACATACAAAGGTCCACATCCACATGACCTGCGACATGTCTGTGTTATACTTATAACGTTATAACTGTATGACAAGTTTCGATTTGTATCTCATTTCGTGAGAATGGGTAATTCGGGTAATATGGATATGAATAAATATGTCTTTTTCCTACTTTTTTCAATGAAATAGTCCAAATTGTAGAAACCAGTTTTTGTACGTCTTTTAGACGATTGAACATTATGTTTACTTATAAAGTTTTTAACATTTAGCATTTTCGTTGAAGCAAAAAAAAAGCAATATGTGGGCGAAAACGTTGTGGCCAAGTTAAAGGTTAAGCTATTTTTAAATTCTAGATTTATTTCTAAATATACTGTAATCTACACGTTGTTGTTTTGCTAGGTGTTATGTTAAGGACACTTGTCCTCGTTGCCTGATTTGACGAATGCTTGCATCCTTCAGAGACAGGCGGGTTTACCGTTGCCGCATCGTGTACAGTTTTCATTGTTTCTAAACAAGATGCAAGCGATTGTCATTTGTAGGCCGCCTATTGTTTGTGAAGGATGTTTGCATTCGTCAAGTATAGGCTAGGCCGCATCATCGCTTCCGCGGAAGACTTAACGGGTTGCCTGGTTGCGGGGTGGTTTTTAGTCAGTAAGAGTCTGACACTCCCTCCCGCCTCACCCGGGCGGGAGAAGTCATTGGATGATTTCCCCCCTCAAACAAAAAAAAAAAAAGGCCGCATCATCGCTTACCACCAGGCGTCAAACGTCGGCCCATCTAATATATTATAAAAAATGTTGCAATATGGACAGTTTCCCTTATTTGAATTTGTATCTTTGTAAACGCACCCACGACATAGGAGAAAGTCCTGATCTGAGACAACAGTAAAAAACATAAAGTTTTTGGTTTCTTTGGCATAAGTTATCCGTGTACCCACATAAAGCATAAATAAAAAGTTTAAAAAATAAACCAAATAAATTTTATATCCTTTTGTTCTCCAGGCTCTAGGCAACATGTACTTCGCACATTCCTCACTGACAGACCTGAAGATCTGGGACTTCGAGCAGAAGGCCTACGTGGAAGCCACGGGCAAGGAGGTGCACGCTGGGAACATTGAAAAGATCACCACTAAGGAAAAGGCCAAATTCCCGCAGCATTTCTTTCCTGAGGTAAGTAATGATACATTTCTCTAATCAAGCATGAACTAGATATCTTTGGTATAAGCCTAAGAAAGGCTATACTGATGATTAGTGAACTTTTTTGCCCATGGACACCTGAGACACCAGAGGCGATACAAATGCGTCACCGGCCTTTTGGAAATTGGGAATTTGAGGATTGTGGGGCAGTCGGGGGGATTGGGGAGAGGGTAATTGGGCCTCCTCAAATTGTCCTCAATTTCCTAATCCCCAAAAGGCCGAAACTTGTAACGCCTTTGGTATTACGGGTATCTATGGGCGGTCGATTGCTTTCAATCAGGGGATACGTATGCTCGTTTACCGGCTTATCCCGTAACAAAAAAAATAGTCCAGCAATGGACTACCATACGTTCTTGATACTATTTAGCATCTGTACAACAATACTGACTTAATGATGAAAGGTATAGAATGAATTCAAAGCCTACATGTGAGTCATAAATAGGTTCTTTATAAGGTCAACGGTAGCTATAAATTATATCGAAACTATTTGGACAGTGAAAGTTCCTACGTGACGAATATTTCTCTTTGATTGTCACCTATGAACTAAACTGTTATGTTAAGGATAGTTGCTGAAATGCTAAGGACGCAACCTGTTTCATTATTTTAGTGGGTATTTTTTTTAAATGGGGAAAATCATAGAATGACTGCTCCCTCCTCGGTTAGGCGGGAGGGAGTGTCAGACTCTTGCTAACTAAAAACCACCCCGTTCCTTCTCCTGCACTGAGCCGGAGCCCCGGTAACCCGTTAGGTTCTCCGCGACTCCGAATCGGCATCGGCCCTGTTGGGCCCCATCTGTGGTGGTCTGATGGCGCTTTAAGGCGCGCGCAAAACGCGACGCGCCGTACGCTCGGGTCTGTTTCTGGTCGGACGGGGAGCCACCCATATTTTAGTGGTTATAGATCATTTAGGTACCCATTTTTCGCATGTAATTGAATTGCAGTTAGGTAGTGCTGAAGAAATCTTATCCAGGGCGCTAGTAGTGCTAAAACCGGCACTGTATATCATGGTGCGAAGTTGCTGTGTGGAATGTGGTTTTAGAATAAAAGAAACTCAGTTTGAATGACTGTCCGACTGACTGACTGCACGGTTGGCGCGGTGGCTGAGCAACTGGCTGCCGCGCAACGTGTCGCAGGTTCGATTGCCGCTCGGAACACTTCTTTGTGTCCACAGATGGTTGTTCCGGGTCTGGTCATGTGTACGTGAACTTGTATGTTTGTAAACGCACCCACGATGCAGGAGAAAATCATAGCGTGGAGCAACGTTTTTAAAAAAATACTTTTTTACGCCCGAATACTGAAAGGCTACTCAATTTAACTCGTCGAGTACCGTCATTATAGACACAATTATAGAACAATAGGTTGCGGTCACCGGTGACCGCTTAGTGTTTGACAGTTTAAAGTAGTACTTCAATATCGTGCCGTTCCTTTCATTTTACAAAGAATTTGTAGGGACAGAAGTAACTTAAGTGCGACTTAACATTGAGTAGAGTTTAAGTATTTCAGCGTTAGTTATCCTAATAATTAATACACAACATTTTTTTAAAAGAGTAACGATGGTGTTACTCCCTTGTTTTTCTTCATTTGAAACTACACTTTGGAACGAACGCCTAGTTTCACTGACAGACAGACGGACAATGAAATTTTTGACGTTTTAAAAGTGCGTAATTAAGGATTAATTGAAAAAAGTGCTTCTTCGACTTTGACTTTTCGACTTTTGAACAAATATTCATGTAATAATTTCTTGTTTGTTTCAGTGCAAGTGGTCGCGCAAGGGCTTTCTACGCACGCGCTGGTGGGTGCGCGGTACGGCCATAGAGTTCGTCAACATACATCTCTTCCACGACGCGTCTAACTTACTCGCCATCGAACCCTTTCCTTCTGTGAGTTACATTAAGATACGCGTGCTAGATCATAGATTTACGTTTAGGTATCGCTACATTTTGCTGTGTCAATTTTGAACTTTATGCCATTGTCATTAAGTTGAAATTTAAGTAATTTTGTAGTTTGAAGTAGTTTTATATGCTGGTATCTGTATGCATAACAAGGTGAGGTAGTAGTTTCTTTATTAGGTCCTATCTACAATGTCACCATTGCATACCTACAATTTGTAATTGTTATCCTTAGTTTGCGAAGATGAACCATTCCATGGAAAACATGATGCCCTAAAATTTTGGATTTGTATATTCGAAAGCGATCTTTTTTTATATTTGATAGGCCGACGTTTGACCACTATCTCGCCTGGTGGTAAACGATGATGCGGTCTACGATGAAGCACGTAGTCCCAAGCAACCTTTTCACACGGGCCTTCAAGAGACCTTCAGGAAATACAGAATCTGGCAAAGAAATCCACTCCTTAGCATGATCTTTAAATGAATAGAACCTAAATGCCCTAAATGATATTTATCTAGACCTTGCTTCATGTTGCGGAGAACCTAACGGGTAACCGGAGCTCCGGCTCGACGTGCAGGAGAAGGAACGGGGTGGTTTTTAGTTAGTAAGAGTCTGACACTCCCTCCCGCCTCACCCAGGCGGGAACAGTCATTCGATGATTTTCCCCCCTTAAAAAAAAGCCCTTGCGTCATGGTTAGGGTCGAAACTGCATTACGCGAATACCGCTTAGCTTTTTGTGGTCTCCGAGAATAAGCCGGAATTGAAGAAAAAAAACTTTAGTTGAATGTATAGTCCGGCCCCGCAGGTGTACTGCCGGTCCCGGCGGCGCGCGCTGCGCCACACGCTGCGCCACCTGCACGCCGACGCGCACGCCGCGCCCTACTTCATCTTCGGAGACTTCAACTTCCGCACGGACACCGGCGGAGTCGTCAAGGTTAGTAAGTAGCGTGAATTGTACTCTCAAATCTAGTCTCTAAGGTCTCATTCGCGAAGACACGTTGCTCAGCGCGTTGGGTGCCTACGCATCGTACATTGCCGCAGCGGGCCGCGTCGTCGCTCGCAAAAATACAAACATAATGAGAGATACGACAGAAGCCTGACGCGCCGCACAATGCGATTAAATTAGTAACCTGATAGTTACAACTTGATACTTGTAAGCAGTGACACGAATAGAGTAAGTGTGGGAGAGCCATGCTTCGGTACGAATGGACCGGCTCGCCCGGAGTGATACCACGGTCTCACAGAAAACCGACGTGAAGCAATGCTCGCGTTGTGTCTCGTCGTGTGAGTGAGGTTACCGGAGGCCCAATTACCCTCCCCTTCCCCTATCTCCCCAATCCCTGAATCCCCAACGATCCTCAAACTCCTAATCCCCAAAAAGCCGGTAACGCACTTGTAACGCCTCTAGTGTTCCAGGGCGACGCCGATTGCTTACCATCAGGTGATCCGTCTGCACGTTTACCGGATAATGCCATAAAAAAAGAGAATGTAAAATAGATCTATTGGGTTACCGGGGCTCCGGCTCAAAGCAGGAGTAGGAACGGACTGGTTTTTAGTCAGTAAGAGACACTCTCGCCTCACCCAAACTCATGCACCCAAAACGAGCAGATGGTGATAAGCAATTGCCGCCGCCGATAGATACCCAGAGTAGTTTCCGGAGTGTTACCGGCTTCGGAAATCCTCAACCCCCCGAGGCCGACAACGCACTTGTAATTCCTCTGGTATTACAGGGGCCCATAGGCGACCATCTCATGATCCGACAGCTCGTTTGCTAGCCTATTCCATAAGGTCAAAGTCAAAATCATTTATCTCAATTTGACCAGGAAGGCACTTTTGAACTTCAACAAAAAATTTAAAGTGAACCTATTTGCTCATTCTAAAGTGTAGATTCCTATGGAGAAGAACGAGTAAGAAACATAGGTTACTCTTTTTCATGCAGGTTCGCAATACAATTCTCTAGTTACATAGTTTTGTTGTTTGGATAGTGCGAGAACATTGTAACACTAAAATCCAGTGAAAGAGATCGAAAGAGATAAAAAAAGGCTTCTAATAATAAACTCCATATTACTTTACAGAAAGTGACAGAAGACCTATCAGGCTCTCGTCTTCAGAACGGTGGCAATGTCGACGCGTCTAAGCTTCAATACAGATCTCCTAGTGACGGCCGCGTAGTACTCACTATTGGGAAGAAGGAATTTTCTCATATAGACCATCAGAAGATCTTCAGGGAACCCTGGGTAAGCAGAAAAATATACTTTAATATTTAGTGAGTAGAGTTTCATTTTGTTTGGTGTAGGCGCGTCGTACTGACTGTACCGGAAGAAAGTAGTTTCTCATGTTGACCATTAGAAGATCTTAAGAGAATCCTGGGTAAGTGATATGGGAAATATATTCTGAAATTGGAGAGTGTAGGTAAATGTACTTTATTGTTGAGTTTTTAGAGTTTAATTTTGCTTGATATGAAAGCACTTTAGCCGGTGTTATAGAACAATACTTAAGCGGAGTATAGTTGAAAAAGGATGCAAATACATTCAATAGATATTTGCATCCCTTTCTAACTGCTTGAACATCTCTGCTTGAGTATTCTTCTGTAATACCGGCATTAGTCTTTAGAAAGGTTATTCATTATTATTTGTTGTAAGAATTTAAACTGTAAAGTCATCCGTATAGAGTCTAGTTTTGTTTAATATCACTCATTATATAAACATACCTCGTAAAAAATATGGTATGGATAACATAACTATAATAATAAAGTGAATGATCATCCCATTCTCAGCTGCAACGTTTCGACCGTGAGTTAGAAGCCCTCCGGCCTCACTTGTACGAGTTCCCCGTGAAGTTCCCCCCCTCCTACCCGTTCGAAGAGGACGTACATCTACCCACACACTATATGAAAACCAGGTAGGATTTTTACTCTTTTTGAATCTTTTAATTTTTTTGATTTTATGTGAGTGAAACAAGTGAAACAAGTGAATTTATTTCTGCAAATAGGCTACAAGGCAGCACTTTTACACGTCAATTTTATAAAGCGAACGATGAGGTCGACATTTCCTAACTGACTACTCTGAGAAGAAATGCCGAAACAAACTCAGAGGTCTGTCTCTTTTAAAGTCCAGACAATATGTATAACAGATTATGTGTGAGAACCGTGCCAGTTCTTTCTGTAGTGGGCTTTTGAGGAAAGAACCACAACAGTTTGAGCGGACCCGTTCTGAAGGCAGTACGCATGTGTCGGTTTACAGTCAGCTCAATTAACAGGTGAGGCTGACTGATTCGACGAACAATACCAACCTAAAGAACATTTGCGTGGGTCGCACAAATACTCAAACTGTCAGAAAAAGGGTAATTAGAAAAGAAATGGTGAGGCAAAGTCTCGCACGGTCCTAGCACTAACAATTGTTAAATAAAAAGTAAATGTCAAGTTAGAACAACATATGAAAAACAATGTCACATTAAAACAATAATGTCAAATTGCATATAAAAAAAAGTAATGTAACTATATGTTACAAACATGTCAACATGACATGTAAAACGTTGCCCTACACTATTATTTTCTCCTGTATCGTGAGTGCGTTTACAAACACCCAAGTTCACATACACATGACACCCAGACCCTTTGGTTGGTGCGGCAGTCGGCAACTAGCTGCCGTGTAACGTGTCGCGGGTTCGATTCCCGCACGGAACAACTCTTTGTGTGATCCACAAATTGTTATTTCGGGTCTGGAAAATTGTGTATATGAACTTGTATGTTTATAAACGCATCCACGGCACAGAAGAAAAATTCCTAGTGCGGGGCAACGCTTTAATAAAAAAAAAACATAAAATACGATATTTTTAAACATTAAAAAGTTGGATTAATTAGTCATGGGTTGTCTGTAGATGTCCGGCGTGGTGCGACCGAGTGCTCCTGTCTCAGTCCGCGCGACTACTGGTGCAGCACGACGCTGCCCGGCCCGCCGACAATAGACATATGCATGCCTCCAGGTAATACCTTCTTCTATAATTAACTAGCGACCCGCACCGGCTTCACACGGGTGCAATATGCATGTTTTATACATATAAACCTTCCTTAAGAATCACTCTATCTATTAAAAAAAACCGCATCAAAACCCGTTGCGTAGTTTTATAGATCTAAGCATACATAGGGATAGACAGACGCGGATAACGACTGTGTTTTATACTATGTAGTGATGTAGTTAATATAAAACTGAAAAATTTGAATCCACCTATACTGAACAAATACTCAATACATTTGAAATGTCTTGAAAACTAAACCACCGATTTTAGAACAGCTTTTGATTTCCAAAAACCACAGTTGGTAGTTATGTTGGTGGTTATTTTCCACCTTTGAAAAACATTTTGAACAAAATATGTCATTCAAAATATTTGGCCTGAGGCGACAAAATTTATAATGTAGCTTCAATCATACACATTAACAGCCCGTAAGTGCTACTACTGACCAAAAGCCTCTTCTCACACGGAGAAGGTTTGAGCATTAATCACCACGCTGACTCAATGCGGGTTGACGATTTCAGACTTATAATTAGAAATTATAATTCCAGGTTTCCTCACGATGTTTTCCTTCAAATAATCTTAGAAAGTCACATTGATACTTGCCGTTGGTAGGTTTCGAACCCGCACCCTCATGCATGAGAGAAGCAGGTGTCTTAAATCTCCGAGCCACCACGACGTATAGCTTCAGTGATGATAAGCAATCAGCACCTTTGAGTCTCACAATCACACTGCTAAGAAATTCCTTAAATTATTATTATTAATTATTTTTTGTTTTTTGACTGCCTCTTTGGCCGAGTGGTCGCAAGTGCGACTGCCGGGCAATGGGTCTCGGGTTTGATTCCCGGGTCGTTCAAAGTACTACTGGGTTTTAAAAAAAATCTCAGTAGTAGCACGGAGTCTGCAATTGTGCCCGGTATATGAGGCTCATAAGATGAATAGTGAAAAGTGGGTGTTACATTGTACAGTAGCATTATGTGCCGTAATGTGCACCTCTGCCTACCCCTTCGGGGATAAAAGGCGTGATGTTATGTTATGTAATTATTTTTTGTAGGAAGTCAGTGACAGACTCCACCGACAGTAGCGGGCGCGTGTCGTCGTCGGACAGTAGTCCGGCGCGGTCCGCCTCGCCGGCTACACATACACAGGTAATTACTATATTTACTACTCTATTGTAATGTTAATAAGGTGTATTTTAAGATAAACATGTAGTCATGATTCTTGAAATAAAAATTTCGTACCCAGTAATGGTTTATTTTATGGCAGATGGATCAGCAGATGGATCATCTGATGGTAAGCAATCGGCCTCCCATGCACCTGGAACACCAGAAGCGTCGTACTTGCAGTGCGTTACCGGCCTTTTGGGGATTAGGAATTTTAGGATTGATAGATTAAGGATTCGGGGATTGGGGAGATTGGGGAAAGGGTTAATTGGTAAAACGTAACCAGATTATTATTATACAAACGAGTGCCTCGTTGGCCGAGTGGTCGCACTTGCCGGACCCTTGTCCCGGCAGTCGACTCCCGGTCTCGGGTTCGATTCCCGGGTCGGGCAAAGTTATACTGGGTTTTTTTAAAAATTGTCAGTAGTGGCATGGAGTTTGGGATTGTGCCCGGTATATGGCAATAGGCTCACCCCCTATTACATGGGACTCATAACATAAATTGTGGTGGGTGTCACATTGTACAGTGACATTAAGTGCCATAATGTGCACCTCTGCCTACCCCTTCGGGGATAAAAGGCGTGATGTTACGTAAGTTATGTATGTATCCAGCAGCTGTAGCCAAATGCCATTTAGCGCTTGTCTACATGTAGAATAGAAAACCAAATTATATGGAATTGACGTAAATTTTGACACTTGTCAGTATCATCCCCATACATTTAGTTTTCTACTCTCTCGGTAGACAAGCGCTGAAGTGGCGTGTGGCTAAAGGCACTGATTATTAAGACTACTGTCTGTCTATCATCAAGCTTTATGCCATAAACCGTAACTTCTTTTTGATTTTTCTAAAGATATTGTTTGTTTATATCAGGGCAGTCCAGGTAAGACGTTGGAGAAAAAGAGTAGCCTGGCGGAGTTGGACGGTCTGTGCGTCCCCGCGCCGTCGCTCAGTCGCAAGAGTATCGCCGACCCCACCAGTGTACAGCAAGCTATCTCCGCCAGGTACGTGGCTCCCTGGGTATATGTTGGAATTTTTTTTTTCATGGCATAAACCCGCAAACGAGCAGACGGATCACTTGATGGTAAGCAATCGGCGTCACCCATGGACACCTGGAACACCAGAAGCGTTACAAGTGCGTTACCGGCATTTTGGGGATAAGGAGTTTGTGGATCGTTGGGGATTCAGGGATTGGGTAGATTGGGGAAGGGGATGGTAATTGGGCCTCCGGTAACCTCACTCACACGACGAAACACAACGCAAGCGTTGCTTCACGTCGGTTTTCTGAAAGGCCGTGGTATCACTCCGGTCGAGCCGGCCCATTCGTGCCGAAGCATTTATTTCAATTTGTGTTTTTTATTTATTTTAGTAAGGTTTGTAATTAGTACTTATAATGCGTCAAGCGTGTCTTTGCATTGGTCTCACATATGCGTACAGTATTGGAATATGTATCAGAGACATTGCAGAACATACTTTTTTAAAAAGAGTCACGAATGGAGTTTCTTGCTCGTTCTTCTCCATTCGAATCTACATTTTGGAATGAGCACCTAGCTTCACCTAGCTTCACTGACGGACTGACTGACAGACTTTTATTTATTTTGTACTAGCGACCCGCCCCGGCTTCGCACGGGTGCAATATGTATATACATACAAACCTTCCTTAAGAATCACTCTATCTATTAAAAAAAAACGCATCAAAATCCGTTGCGTAGTTTTAAAGATCTAAGCATACATACGGACATACAGCGAAAGCGACTTTGTTTTATACTATGTATTGATTTGTTGACGTTTCAAAAGTACCAAATTATGGTTTAATTGAAATAAATGCTTTGACTTTGACTATCTAGTTTCGAATGGAGAAGAACGAGCAAGAATCTCCACAGTTACATACGTTATATACGTACGGTCCTTGTACACGAAACGCTCCATTATAAAACTCTGAATTTTTTTTATACAATTTTAATTGTTATTGTTTTTGTGTTATTCATTCAACACCAGCCTTGAGCAGTTGATTACAACTATTATTACATAAAAAAATCATTTAATTCCTTACACATAACATAACATCACGCCTTTTATCCCCGAAGGGGTAGGTGCACAAAAATATGTGTATAAAATTATCTAGATAAGACCATATTTCTTTACTCCAGAATGTCAGAAGAAGCTAGCGGTCGCCGTCGCCTAGTCCGCAACCAGTCGGAAGGGGAGGCAGCCCCCCGCGGGGGACGGGACCCCACCCCCCGCCGGCGTCCGGTCTACGGAGTCATTGGGGACTCCGCGTGTATGGGGGATCATAAGGTAACATAACCAAGTTGTTTTTAAAACTAAATACATTTGGTGTTCATCTATAAACTCACATAAAGTACTTTAAAACTGACTCAATAATTTCCCAGTATTAGATAGACATATCAAATCCATTCTATATTATTTCTGAAGAGCAAACTTCCTCTCAAAACATTTCAATTCTTAATTTCATACTAACAACTAAATTATTTAGGAATTTGAACACTCAGCAATAATCAATCTGTCTGGAAATACAAAGTCTTGATTAACGAAACATACTTCAGACTAGCCCTAAAACATAACTATATTATCAGAAACTTGATTATTTTCCTTACTAATAGAACCTAAATCTTTTATCTTCCAGCCGATCTACCTCCGCGTGATGCTGCAGAGTGACCGAGGTAGGCTCAGTTGTTGCGCCCCCCCTCACTGCTCCCTGTGTACTAGCGCGGCCCTCCTCCCCTCCACCCTGTCCCTCCTGTGTCCACTCCCCCCACTCGCCCCTCTCCCCCCACTACCGCGCCTGCCCACAGACCCAGACCTCTATGCGAACAAAAAAATCAAAGTCCCTACTATATCTACTAGTCACCCAGCTAATTTAACAGATGAAAAATTAAAAAGAACAAGGACTGGCTCCCTTAATGAAACTATGCTTAGAATACCACACGTAGAAATTACTAGTGCTGACTCCAGTCTCGATGGTGTCTACGTAAATGATATCGATAATACACTGCTCAGTGTTCGTCGATGTATCGATCCCTACACGCCAGAAAGTATCGATTCTCACAGCCCTAACGTCGAAGCTTCCTCCGGCTCAGACGAGGTATCGATAGAAGTGACAGAAAAATCGACTAATAACAATAATAAATCGACTAAAATGAGTAGGGATCGTAGTGTATCGCCTACGCAGTTGAAGAGTCGATTGGATAAGTTGTTGAGTGATAAGGAGGAGGTTAAATCAATTCCGGAGTTGCAAAGATTGCATAGTCGGGAATCGTGTAAATCAGAGGCTAGTAAAAAAGGGGGGTTGTGTTGTTTAGCCTTAAAATGTTATGGGTTCTGTAGGCGGCGCGCGCGTAGAGTCAAATGTGACTGTAGCTTCGCCAAGTGTTGCTCCTGACCTAGTAGATAGTGATGTGACTTTGTTGTATAGTCGATTTCCATTTATCGATTGTTTATCATCGATTTTTTATTCTTTATTTATATTTTTTCAACTATTGCATTCTAGATAATATTTTTTGTAACTATGGAAGAAATCGATGGTAAAAAATTGATTGACAATGCATTGTTGTTTGCATTTTTTGTTTTTGATGTAATTATCGTATGCACTGTTTTTTTTTGACATTGTAGTAATTATTAATTAGACAACCTTTAGAAAGGTTCCACCAAATATGGTAATACATTTACCATGAGTTCGCATGGTGACATTTTAATACCGCATGCATTTTTTATATAACATATCAATGTCCAACTAGATCTTAAAACTATTAATTTTAAATACTATTCCAATGAATGTATTTCATTAATAAAGTAATAATAATATTAAGTTAGGTAACATATGTGCTTATAACTAGTCGAAATTTCGCTTTTAATTATCGATATGTTTTATCGATAAACCCCTACAAGTCACTACTCTAATCTCGAGTACAGACACTCTCACGTAAAGCTAGCCAAATCTCTTTTATATTAATTATTGCAAAAAGAAGACTGTAGGTAAATAACTGCCCTCAAAAGCACTGGTTATCGAGATTTTAATGAAGTTTTAAATTTAAATACTCAATGATATATGATAGGTACAAAATTGTACTCTAAAGTTAAGAGTCATAACATAAATAGTGAACCCTAGGTCATACATTATACGCGTGTATATTGTGCATCTCTAGATTTAGCGATTGAATCAATGAAGTTGAAAATATAATTTAAAAATCTGACTTGGCTGAGTTGTCGCAAATGCAACTGCCGGGCAAGGGGTCTCGGGTTCGATTCCCGGGTTGGGCAAAGTATTACTGGCTTTGTAAAAACCTCAGTAGTAGCACGGAGTCTGGAAATGTGTCCGGTATATGGCAATAGCCTCACCCCCTATTACATGGGACTCTTAACATAAATAGTGAAACGTGGGTGTTACATTGTACAGTAGCATTAATTGCCGTAATGTGCACCTCTGCCTACACCTTTGGAGATAAAAGGCGTGATGTTATGTTATGTTATAATTTAAAAAGATTCAAGGTGAGGGTAGCTTGATGTGCCAGCGTCTGTACATAGTGATGGACTTATTTTTAAAAAGACAATATTCCTAATTATCGATAAAATTAATTTATTTACTCTATTTAAGGGGTTATTGTATTTAATGCAAGAAGTGTATAATAATAATAATAATTATGATAAAATTTAAAATACTTTTACATTAATAATGTTACTCATATAATTTAATGAAATGTTTATACCAAATGGTCTATGTAGTCTAGTCTATATGCTCAAGCGTATATATATATATATATATACATATACGTTTTTTGTATATTAAACAATTTTGTTGACTTATTCTAGGTCGAATTTTGGACAAGAACAAAAAATATAGAATAAATTTTCACATTTCGATTAAGTTATATTACCTCTTTATTTAAACTAAATCGATCGAAAAAAAAAAATTATCAAATATATTTGCCATAGTACACTAAAATATTCGCTAAATAATTAATCAGAAGTAACGAATAACATATGTATATCCTAAATAAAAATATACATATATTAGTGTATTTTTTTAAATCAGAGTCTAATATACTGGTCAAGGTAATCAACGGTGTAACTATTCTTCAAATCTTATTGCTTTTCTGATAATGCTATAGAACAAAGCAAGCTAAAATATAAATACAGTCAATTTCAAATTATCACACGCCAAAGTCAACTTTATGACATCAAAAACTCATTAATATTCCACCTAAAATCCTGAAACCAACATTCCACCTTACAATATAACATTTTCGACCTAGAATCTGTTGACAAAATGCGATAAATCGTATAACTTAAGTATTATAAATATAAATTGGTATATAACATTAACAGTCACTATTAGTTACCATTATATTTTGGTTTAAAGTCACTATTTTAATTTAAGACTGGCAACACTAATGCATTAAATTATTTTTGCAGTGGCAAGACTTTATGATTTGTTTAAAAATTGAAAAAAAAATACACAGTATGAATAAATATTTTTTTCACGTAAAATGGTTTTCAAATGTATTCATTTTATTTAAGAATCCTTGCGTCTACGTCATTTATATTATCATTATTTTGATTCAAGACTTGAAACTGAGGACAACATTAGTAGAAACAACCTCTTTGGCTAATGTATAAGTATAATTTTCTCATTTAATCAAATAGAGAGAACATTAATTAATACGGAAGTATATAATCCTATGAGGCTCTAAACATGTCCCACACCAAACGAGACTTCATCATCATCATCATCATCAACAGCCTATAAATGCCCACTGCTGAGCAAAGCCTCTTCTCACACGGAGAAGGTTAGAGCATTAATCACCACGCTTGCTCAATGCGGGTTGGCGATTTCAAACTTATAATTAGAAATTATAAGTTCAGGTTTCCTCACGATGTTTTTCCTTCACCGTTTGTCAGTGGTGTCTAAATAATCTTAGAAAGTACATATAACTCGGAAAAAGTCACATTGGTACTTGCCGTTGGTAGGTTTCGAACCCGCACCCTCATGCATGAGAAGTGGGCGTCTTAAACCTCCGGGCCATCACGAGACTTCATATTGTACCGTAATATCAGCCATTTAAGGAAAACAGAAAACTACACAAATTATTATGTTTTTGGCATACTCACGTAACTGTTTGACGAGGAACAACTAGTTTCAAGCCATGCTAGACGCTCATATTCATGAGCAGCATATCTGCTCAGTTACATAAGTAAGCCGAAAACATAGTAATTAATTTAGTATGCCTCATGATCATGACAAATACACTATGGTTTAAAATTGAATTTCTATCTCTATCTCTTATAATACAAGTCAGGAAGATTTAAAGACATCAATGAACCAGAGTTTGTACTAAAAGATATAACTAGTTTAATTTTTAACCGACTTTAACAAAAGAATGAGGTTCTCAGCTTAACCTGTATGTATATGTTTGTGCGCAATTATCTCGCGATTTGCTGAACCGATTTTAATTCGGTTTTCATTCATTGTTTGTTACACTTATGAGAAAGTTTTAGTATCAATTAACCGACTTCAAAACAGAGGGGTTTGATATTGTTTATCATTGGGACTGAGACTGGTCAGCTCCAGACTGTATTAAACTGTCAAACACCAAGCGGTCACCGGTGACCGCAACCTATTGTTCTTTAATTGTGTCTATAATGACTGTACTTGACGAGTTAAATTTGTTGTCCTCAAGGTTATTTTCTTTTTCTTTCTCCCTGTTTGAATATTGGTTTTGCATTGTTCTCATATAATTGAACGAACGAAACAATGTAACCAAGTATTGTATTGTGAACCCTATTGTAAAAGAGTAACATATGCAGATTCTTGCTCGTTCTTCTACATAGGAATCTACACTTTGGAATGAGCAAATAGCTCCACTAGAGAACTGACCGACAGACTGAATTTTTTTTTGATATTTCAATATTTTGTTTTGACGTTCAAAAGTGCTCTAATTTAAATAAATGATTTTGACTTTATTATTATTTTAAAGTGTGCATGGTTTTCAAAGCTTTTTCTTGTTTGAAATCTTAGTATAGCATTTATGAACCCGTTGGGGAAACGCATTAGTTCCACCACCTGTAATTGAAATTGTGTGTCGACAAATATAATTTGGTCGACACTGCTAGCTAAACCGAAAATTGGCGTTTTTATCGTAGTTTTTTTTAAGTAAATAAAGATCGGTATTTGTTTTGTATATTTTTTTAAATTTCCAGTAGTGTATTGCCGTCAGTGTGTTAGATGTTGTTCGCTTTGCTTGTAAGTACTGATTTTGTTTTATTTCGCACTGTATGTGAATGTTAACCGTTGTATGCTAGTCATTATTACTCCTTAGTACATACATATCTAATGAAGGTTGCATATTCGTTCTAATTTAAACTTTAAAAGATCTGTGTATGAGGTTGATTTTACAATAACATTGAGTGTTATTGAAAAATAAACTGCTATTAAAATTGATCTTTATGTGCCAATATTTAAAGTTTTTTTTAATAACTACAATTAATCAGTTCCCTGCCTTCATAAGATGTTTGCACCAATTACACACTAAAAAACAACTCTTTACAATCCAATGTAAACTCTACCGCTTCCTAAATAAGTAACATTTTCAATTACAGGCAATTTCAGACAGGAGTTCCATTCTGAATCGTCCCCAAAGCACATTAAACCAGAAGATCCTGAAAACATGACAGATCCAGTTGCAGACTCACCCAACTCACGGTACATACACTTTAATGTTGACAGTCCTAACAGTATTTTCAAAGAAACTGACATTTAAAATCATTCGAAAATAACGTAATATAAAATAGAGGATTTTCCAACATATCTGAACTATATATGAAGTCGCATAATAATCCATTATCGGAGACCAACTTCCTCCCTTCCCCAATTTCCAAATCCTTAATGCTTAAGTCCCTAACTCCAAGGCTACCAACGCATTTGTAACACCTTTGGTGTTACGGGTGTAAATGGGCTTTCACCAACCTTTACCAAAAAAAATGTATAACAGAGAGCTTAATACGAGTTAGTTTTACGTTTATAGTAAACGAAACGAGACCGCGTTCGGCGCTCTGATTGGCCGGGTCCAGTGAACCAACCAATCAGAGCGTCGAAAGCGGTTTCGTTTCGATTGCTTTAACCGGAAAACATACTTATGCTAAGTCTTAAGCTTGCATAGCACAAGAATTTAGTATGCAGATACAAAAAATCTATACTATACATATTTAACAAAAACAGAAGCGTCAGACAGAAGTGTAAACAGCTAGTCAGAATCTTTTTTTTACCTGCATTCCAAATTCTTTTACTAACCACACTTAGGAGCAAAGAATTGGAACCACTAGCGATATTTTTTTTGTATCATTTTATCGAACCCTCTATAACTTTGGAAAAAATGTCGTAACTATGTAAACTGCCTTTTATAGGACATACGTTACCAATGAATAAAATACTTGTATTAGAAAATATTTATCAAGAAATGAACAAGAACGAACGCTATTGTAAATGTCGTGGTGGCCCGGAGGTTTAAGACGCCCACTTCTCATGCATGAGGGTGCGGGTTCGAAACCAACCAACGGCAAGTACCAATGTGACTTTTTCCGAGTTATATGTACTTTCTAAGATTATTTAGACACCACTGACAAACGGTGAAGGAAAAACATCGTGAGGAAACCTGGACTTATAATTTCTAATTATAAGTTTGAAATCGCCAACCCGCATTGAGCAAGCGTGGTGATTAACGCTCTAACCTTCTCCGTGTGAGAAGAGGCTTTGCTCAGCAGTGGGCATTTATAGGCTGTTGATGAACGCTATTGGCTACTTTTCTTTGCACACAAGTGTAGTTTAAGAAACAAACGATTATTATTCGCATCGCATCGCATCATATGTATATTAAGACAACGTGGTAATGCTACCAATATTCTGGCAATGTGTACTTATGTGAAGGAATGTTTTAAGCAGAATGCTTAACAATCTATGCACTGCAAAGGTTTCTCCTTTTTTAAGAGTTGAATAGAAAATCCTTAAATTAAATCACCGCTTTGTATAATTAATAGATAGAAATCAATAAAACTACTCCCTACAAATAAACGTAATGAAATCGCCAATTACTTGTAATTAATTAAATATTATTGTTATATAATAATGTCTATTAAAATATGTCACATTTATACTTATAATTTGTGTACTATATTGGGAAAATATATTCAGGAAATGATTAACATTGTTTCCTTAAGATAATTATAT